TAATGATCTCTACAACCATGCACCCAACTTAAAGATAGGACCTTATACAATAACAATGAGTAGTAAAAAGGACAAGTGAAAAAATCAAACAATCTCATATTCATGAATGTTAGAAGATAGGAACTTATACAATAACACTGATTAGTAAAGAGGACAAGTGAAAAAATCAAACAATCATATATTCATGAATGTTAGAAGATAGGAACTTATACAATAACACTGCGTGGTAAAGAGGAGAAGTGAAAAAAATCAAACAATCTCATAATCATGAATGTTAGATATTTTTTTAGTGTAAACCACAAGGTGGTCCTCCCCATTCGCTTCGGAAGGCCATGGAAGCTGGCCTAGGGGAATCAAGCCCAGGTTAAACCCGAATTCTTCTCTAAGAAAGGAGCCCATTTGCCACTTAAACTAATACCCCAAGTTATTATATTACCAATTTGAAAGGTCCCACCGAGATTTAAACTCGGTTACTGGATTCAGAGTCCAATGTCCTAACCACTAGACCATTGGACCAAGCTATGAATGTTAGATATTAATAACAAAAGAATTTGATCACATATTATTTAAACAAATTTTTAACCGTCCAGATCGGGAAGGAAAATAACCCTAAATAAATATTGTTGAGATAATTAATTTGTAAAATTAAATTAAACAATCTCAGTCTATCTTAACTTATGATCTATGAATAATCTCATATTCAAACTTTGCACCCGTTTTTAATTTATTAACATTTTAAAATTAATTAATTTGTTGAGTTGTCTTTAATTAATTATTGTTGAATTAATTTATAGATGTCAGGATAGTTAACTTTACATTTTCCAACATGCAACAGAGTAAAAATATATATAACCTATATAGGAATTGGCATATGTATACGCTACCTATATTTCTTGAATACAGCTAGGAAGAACTGTTTGTGGGTATTTGCATGGATGTACATTACATATTTACGCATAAACATGTGCGTATTTGCATGGGATATATGGATACTTATATATACACACAGACGCATTACGTGCACAAACACATTTCACTCACACACCCACACACGTACACGTATAGTATGTTGGAGGATAAAAATGTAATATCTCCCTTCCCTTTTTATTTCTATTCTTTTTCCCTTATTCCCTTATATAAACCAGTGTATCCCCCAATTCTCTCATCATCGATAATACTACCTTTCTTCTTCAACCTGCTCCATCTCTGCTTCTTGTTCATTCAATGTAATCCATATTCCGACATGGTATCAGAGCGGCGGGAGCTCATCCACGCTGCTGCATTTTCCGGTGGCGGAGAAGTCGATGAAGCGAAACGACGCCGACACCTGAATAGTCTCTGTGCAATCCTAGTCAATCCGCATAGGATGATTCTGATCCATCCGCAGAGGATGATTCTGATCCATCCGCAGAGGATGCGTAGCAACGATGCCGGTGCTCGATCACCAGTTAGATCAGCATCGTCAATGATTCCCCAGAGGAATCTGAGTTCGGAGCAGCAGATGCCCGTAGTCGATCCGCAGCGGAAGGCGATTTTTAGCGTTGAGAGGTTTTCGTTGTCCGGTAAAGCTAGGAAGCCGAACAATGAAATCGATGTGAATTTCTCGGAAAATTCAAGAGAGGTTGCGAATGAGATCTGGAGATCTTTGGATCTGCAGGAAGAGGATTTCGTAACCGACAATTCAGATTACTATTTCCATTGCAGTTTCAGCAGAGAGACGACTCCAACTAGCGATCAGCATCGCGGAGACACAGGCGGAAATAGAATCTGCCGCTGAATCGAAGTTAGCTGAAAATAGAGCGTTTGGGAGGAGGTGTCTAAGCCAGAATCTGGGCATATGAACGCCGTTGTGGAACAGGGCGTGGGAGTGAAATTAAGCGTGAGGGTTCTGGTCGCGGAAACTGGGGAAGTCCTACAGATGAGATTGCTCCGGAAGCTGAAGAGCCAATGAATGGAGTTGTTAATGATGGTGTGAACACTGATGCATTTGAGAAGCAACATGGGCAAGAAGATGCTGGAGATGCCAAGAAGGATTCTCCATTGGATGAACCAGAAGTAAAGGAGCCTGAGGATAAGGAGATGACTCTGGATGAGTATGAGAAATTGTTGGTGGAGAAGAGAAAGGCTCTTCTGGCATCAAGGCCTGAGGAAAGAAAGGTTTGCTTAGACAAAGAATTTGAATCCATGGCACTGTTGGCAATAATAAGAAGAATGGTGCGGTGATAATGGAGACTTTGAAGTCTAAATTGGAAGAGTTGAATCTTGAATCAAGACTGAAAGGAGATGAGTTGAGAAATTTGAGCAACATCTCACAGAATTTAGAGAATTCCGACTCAGTTTCTGCGGGAAGCTTCGTGAATTTGAAGCTAACAGCCGAGAAGTTGGTGAAGGAACAAGCTTCTGCCAGAACTGATCTTCAATTAGCTTACTCTAAGCTGAAGAAATTGACAGAAGACATCGGTGTTCTGGAAGAAAAATTACAAAATGCGTATAATGAAAATGCCAAATTAAAAGTGAAGCCAAAAGAAGATGAGAAACTTTGGAATGGACTGGATTCTAAATTCTCTTCAACAAAGACCTTGTGTGATCAGCTCACTGAGACTTTGCAACACTTGGCTGGTCAAGTTCAAGAAGCGGAGAAAAATAAAGCATTCTTTGAAGATAAACTATCTGCATCATCAGTTGCTCTTCATAATTTGCATGACCAAATGAAGGCCCTGTCACTGAGGGTGAAATCTTTAGAAGAGACTATCAGAAATTGTGGGAAGGAGCTGAAGGAACTTGGCGTTGAGAAGGAGAAAATGGAGGAATATTTCAGGGATGAACACAATAAAGCCACCGGTATAATTGCCGAAAAAGATGTCTACTTCTCCAGAAATGCTCTGTTGCTTCTGCCCTGGTCCTTTTAAGCATGCAGTTTGTTGAATATGTTGTGAATTTGAAGTTTGATGAGGAACCAAACTATGCCAAGTACATTTCTTTTGATGGATTAGCTGGACCAAATCCAGACATCAGACCCTTCTTTGTATAATGTTGGTTGCTGTATTGATTTTTTTTTTCTTCGTTCTTTTGTATCTAAGCTGGACATGTAGAATCTACACGCTCCAGCTTACGGGGGGTGTTGGAGGATAAAAATGTAATATCTCCCTTCCCTTTTTATTTCTATTCTTTTTCCCTTATTCCCTTATATAAACCAGTGTATCCCCCAATTCTCTCATCATCGATAATACTACCTTTCTTCTTCAACCTGCTCCATCTCTGCTTCTTGTTCATTCAATGTAATCCATATTCCGACATAGTATCTACAAATCTGACTTAGTGGAATGATGTGAAATTTCATTTAAAAATTTTCTTTTAGTGATAAGGTAGACCTTGTCGCCTTGCTACGTGTTCATGATATTTAGATATACTTTGAGGAACTCGGATGTAAAAATTCATAAAGATCTTCTTTTAGTGAAAAGGTTGGCCTTGTCACCTTGAAGCGGATTCATGAAATATAGATATAGTCCGGTGAAGTTGGATGTGAAATTTCATTTATAGATATTCCTTTAGTGATGAGGTAAGCCTTGTCGCCTTGAAGCAGATTCATGAGATCTAGATATAGTCCGGTGAAGTCAGATGTGAAGTTTCATTTAAATAACTTCTTTCAATGATAAGCTAGGTCTTGTCGCCTTGAAGCGGGTTCATGAGATCTTGATATAATTTGGTGAAGTTGAAATCAACAACTTCTTGAATTATTATTATTATTATTATTATTATTATTATTATTATTATTATTCTTGTATATAATATTGAATTCAAGTAGTGTTTTCCCGCCCAAACTTATTTTACTAGTCAAAGTAATGGTAATTTTTATTTGGTAAGAAAATGATGCATGGAAATTGAATTGGTAATATTGTGTTGTCCTTAATTATAATTAGAATAAAAAACGTAAGAATATTAACAAATAAATCGGTAATATTAACGTAGAAAATCATGGTATAATTAATTATGGTTAATTTGATTGGTAATACTAACGTAGAATAAAAGTTTATTCTAAATCCAAAGAATAAATAACACTATATTATGATAATTAAAGAAGAATAAACAATGTAAAAATATAGAATAAAATGTAATAATTAATTATAGTAATAACATAACAATTTGCTATTTGAACCCATCATTGTGCTAAATCCAAAGTTGTAAGCTTCCTACGTATTTCTGCATTTGTACTCTCCTATTTACACCGATTCTCAATGGCAACTGAACTTCACAGCGAGATTATTGGTAGTCAACTTCATCCTAGACTCTAGTGGAATAACATCAGGTTAAGAGTCCTCCGTGTCGTTCGTCTTCAAGAGATAAGAGGTTCTGAAACCATAAACTGTATAGAGTGTGTAGCACATGATGTAGAGGATTTTTTTTTTTTTTTTAACTATAATCTTAATCTTAACATTTTGTACTCCGTATTTCTAAAATTTTAGTCTATGCATATGGTTTTTTTACAACTTCAGGGAACTTTTATACATATGCATATTCCTTGAATGTATGTTGAAAAGTGGCTCAACAAATTTTAAAAATGCAATGTTTATCGACTTCATAGATTTGTGGTGGTTTATAATTTGTATAGAAACAAAACTACTAATAACAGGTATATGCTGAAGTTTTGTGACATAACTACTGTGGGAATATTGAAAGATGCAGATTTCCCAACACATGCTTATGACAGAGAAGATTATGATTTTTTTGAAGAGGTCGTCTATTGCTTACTTACAAATTTGTGCTTTTTGTATAACTTTAATTAGGTATTTAAATTTTCCTAACTTTCACGATTCTCTGGATAGATAGGTGCCTGAACCTTCGATTGGAAATTTGGATTCTACCAAAGAAGGGGATTCAAATAATGAGGAGTCTATTTCGAGATGAATAATGAGGAATATGTCAACAATTAAATCTATTAAAATTATGCTTTTGTTATGTTATTCGTTATTGTTATTTGTCACTTCTTAATCTATTCTTAATTTGCCAAGCACCTTGTGTTTAGATGGCATTTAGTGACTCTCCCATATGGAAGGTCATGAGATCGAGCCTTAGTGGAGGCGGTATTAACTCTACAATGTAATAGAGTCAGTAGTATTAAAAAAAAATATATTCAAATTTCCTAATGTACGTCCGGTACTAGCATTTTTGCTAAGAATAATTAAACAATTTAATCAAATTTAATTTATATAGTTTATTTAATAATTTAAAAATACAATTTTAACAATATAGTTCCGATTTTGCCAATTTTAATTTATATAACATATAACTAATTCACTAATTTATTTAACAAAATTTCCGCTACTTATAATAAAATAATTTAATAAAATAATTCAATAAATAATTTAATAAAACAATTCTATAAGTAAATAATCCCTAATATTTACCTTACGTATAATTTAACAATTTAATCATTTTTAATTTAATAATTATTCTTTTTATAATCAATAATAAAATTGTAAAAATAATTTTATAATCAATAATAGATAATAAATTTGGAAATGATTTTGTAATCAATAATAAATTTGGAAATTATAAAATCATTATTTCACTGTAATGATAAAATCACGAAAACTGCATGTCTAAGTCATGCATTATAAAATCATTATTCTTTTCCTTTTGCGATGCAATCCTCATATGGTTAGTGTCTAACCCGTGTACCATAATATGGTATTATCCGTAAAAATAATTTTATAATCGATAATAAATTTCGAAATGATTTTATAATCAATAATAAATCATTAACTACAATGCAATCCTGATATGGTTATTATCAATGATTTTAATAATGACTCTTTTCCTTTTGCAATGCAATTGGTTAGATAACGACTACAATTAACACACACACACACACACAGATATATATATATATATATATATATATATATATATATATATATATATATATATATATATATATATATATATATATATATATATGTATGTATTTATGTATGTATGTATGTATGTATGTATGTATGTATTACCGTGCACCATAATATGATATTTAATTTCATGGAATAATTTATATATCGATTTAATATAATTATCATTAATATATTATAACAAATGTATTCCGTGCATTGCACGGGTGTAAATAATAATAATAATAATAATAATAATAATAATAATAATAATTTGTGAATAACACAATAAGAGACAAATTAAAATAGAATACTTGGAGCATTCACAATATGATGAGAATCCAGTATTTTGTACCATAGTTTCATAAATTTTTTATTTTATTTTATTTATTAATCATATTTATAATTATTTTAAATATAATTTATTATAATTATTGTTCTGACTTCTGAAGGTTCGCAAAAGCAGGAGATTTTTATTTTTTATTTCTTTTTTTTTTTTAAACGGATCAATTAAAAAACAAAAAATCAAAGTTCCGCCGCTTGGCGCTAGCTAGGGTTCTAGAAGTTTTAATGTCTCAACTCTCAACCTTAAAGGATAATTATATATTTTACATTAATTAATACATATAAAAAACGGATTAAATAAAAAAAAGAAAAAAAAAAAGAACAGTGATCTCTACGCTGAGTTAGTTGCAGTTGTGCAATATATATGGACATTGGGGATGCTCGTAGTTGCTATAGATAGAGTAGTTGGTTCGGTAAGAGGAAGACCTAGCGAGATCTCAGATCAGATCAATCCATGTCCGCCCAGCCAGCTATCAACCCAACTAGATCTCCATTCACGCATAATCAAACCACATCCAGGTATATATATATATATATCGTTTTCACGTCCAAAATCTACTCAAACACTATTACTATATTATACCTATATATCTGCATATCATTATTGATTAAAAATTCTCATGTGGGATATATAGATCTCACTTATATAATACTTTTTAATTTAACAAGCATTATATTTTTTTAATGAAAATATTATATTTGTAATAATATTTAATTTCATACATATATATATATGAATTTCTTATCACACAATGCTCTTAGGTTTATCATCATTTTTTAAGAGTGTTGGAAACCCTAAGATTTTTTATCTAATCACTAAAAGTGGTTGAATTGGCAATTAAATATGTTTAATTTGATCCACAGGTCAAAGCGAGGGATTGCAAGTTTTAAGCACTGTTTTGTGATCGAATATCTTGGCTTGAACCACATGCTTCCCCTTCTTATTGCAACTTCCGTCTTCATATTCCACTTTGGCTTCCACCTTTTACCCACCCAATATCTAATTCCCCACCATTTTTCTTCTCTTCTCTTGTTGTTGTCTCCATCTCCACTATTTTCAATTTATAGTGTTGATCTACATATCTTTCACGGTTACGTTTATCACCTATTTTCACCATTATTATTATTATTTTTTAGTTAGTATGCATATGTGGTTAGGATCGAATTTAATGTGTTTTTCTTTTTCAATATAACAAAACTTTACCCTAATTCAAAATGATAAACACAACAACCTTAAAAGGAAAAAAATTAAGATAAAATGTTATAATAATTGCGAATTTGTCAATTCTTCTTTATTATTTTACTTTTTATAGCAGTAACATAATTTTTGTTCTTTTATTGCTTTAAATGGTAAACATTAAAAAGGAAATAGACAAATTAAAATTATTGTAATATTTATCTCTCTCTTTTTTTTTTTTTTTTTTTTTTTTTTTTTTTTTTGTACTTGATGATATGGATTAGGATAATTAAAATTTGAACTTTTTAAAATATTTGGACGAAATAAAAGAAAGACATTATTACTTTTTTTTCCTAAAAGAAAAAAGACATTATGTTTAGTTGTTTACGCTAGGGATTGTAATATATATATATATATATATATATATATATATATATATATATATATATATATATATATATGCTTGTCAATTTATAATGTCATGCACATATTTGCCATTTATGATTTATCCCACGTTTCCTACTGCCATTATTTATTAATTATTAATTACTTTAATCCTTTCTCCATGGTAATAAGTGAACCACTAATCCTTAATTGTAAGGAAATTGTTAATTACATTAATTTTTTTATCATTACAATTCAACCACTTCATGATGTGGTAAAATTCTAGATATTAATTTTTTGTTTTGTTTTTTATTTTTAATTTTAGCTTCATCACTAATATCTTGTGAAATTAGGGGTAACATAATATAATATATTTTTATTTTTTAAGATAAAAAGTAAAGTAATAATGTCTTTCTTTTTATATTTAAAGCACAAATATTAATTATTCTAATTCAAATTGTTACATGTAAGAAAAGAAAAAAATCTAAAATAAAAATAATAATAATTATATTTTTGTTAAATTATTCTAAAATGTTTACCATTTAATTTATAGCAATAAAAGGTAAAGTAGTAAGGAGGTGGGAACTAGCCAAATTTAGAATTATTGTAATAATTTGTTCTGAAATTTTTTTCCTATTAAGGTTATGTGTGTCATTTTGGAAATGGGTAATTTTTTCCCTATTAATATATTTTTACAAAAATGAAATACATTAATTATATTAATAATTAAGGATTAATCTTTAGATTTCAACATACATAAGAACTTCAAAAGGAAAAATAAATAATAATTAATAATAATAATAATAATAATAAATAAATAAATGAAATAATAACAATGGTGGAAATTGAGGATGAAGCATGGGTGAGATATGTAGATGAGCACTATAAATTGGAGTGAGTGGTGGATGAAATAGCAACAAGTAGGAAAAGAAAAGAAGTATTGAGGGGAAAAGAAAGGCCAACGTTAATGATGAGATGTTGGGTGGGAAAAGGAAGGTGAATGAGGTAGAAACTAAGCTGGTGAATGAAGACGGGAGTTGTAGCAAGAAGGGGAAGTATGAGGAGATGGAGGCGGTGGAACCCAATGTGGCGTATGAAAAGGGGAGTTGCAGCAAGGAGGAAAAATGTTAATAGAAGGCGGAGGCAGAAGAAGAACCGATACCCCTAAATACAAAAGTATTACTAGCGATAGCGATGATGGGGAAAACAACCTGGTTGATTCACTTGTTACTACTGCTCCTAAAGGTAATGAGAATTTGTTCTATTTTCTTCTGATATGCAAATATTTACATGCATTATTCACTCGCAATGAAATTTAGATTTCTTTTTGTTTTGTTTACTTGATCTGAATAATCTTTTTGTTTTGTTTACATGCATTCGAATAATGAAATTACTTTAGCAATCTTAGTGTGTTGTGCTTCTATATATTTTGTGCACCTAATTTGTTTATATAGTGTTGCTACTATCAATTAATTTTCAATATTATATTTTGGAGTATATTTTACTTTTATAATTAGGGATGCCAACGGGATAGTGACTGGGGTCCCCGTCTCAACCCCGTTCTCCGACGTGATTGGGAGTTAACCTCATCCTCGTCTTTGTGGGGATTTGTCGGGCACGTGGTTCCCAACCCCTTTTTTTTCCATCATCTTAAAACATCTAATTCATCATCAAATAAAATTAGTTAACGTTAACAATTTAAATTAACAAGCTAGCAATTATCACAATTTTAATTTATTGGAAAAGTACTGGAAATTTACATTATACTTCGAAGTATTCAAAACAAAAATAATAAAAAAAAAGTATACTAATATACTATATTTCCGATTGGAAATTGATAAGTGTCAAAGACGCACACTTTTAAGGTCCATTTAGGGTGAATTCTAGGCTAAAAGTAATCCTTTGTGTAACAATATTGTGCCAATTAGCTATGTTTTGCATTACATTGGAAATTACCACCGGACTTTACGTTTTACAGGTTTTTAGGTGAGTTTCGGGCTTAAACGAGGCAAAGTGGCACAACCGGAATGAAAGCAGGATAAGAAGACAAGCCGGGACCTAGCAACGAGTCCACAACGTGTGTTGCAGCACACGTTGCACAATTTTGGAGGTTGCGTTGATGGGGTTGCGAAAGGAAATAAAAGGGGAGGCTATTTAGAATTAGAGAGAAATACTTTTGTAGAGAAGATTTGATAGATCCAAGCTTAGTTCTTGAGAACGACAAAATCCGAGCGGCCATCCCTTGAGAACGACAAAATCCGGGATTCATCCCAACACAATTAAATTATCTTAAGAAAATCAAGCTAAGAGAGAAAGAAACGAACATCAGAAATAATTGAAATTTTGAAATGATTTTAATCTACAATATAAAATTAAGGAATAGAGAGAAAAAAACAAAAAAAGGAAACTAGGGAATTGGGGAAATCGTGACTCCGGTGAGAACAATATTGCTGGTGACGACGGGCGTGATTGCTTGTCGTTGGATTGCTTAACGACGAAAGGTAACTAGCGATGAGAGAAGTAGTCGGCGACGAAGGGCAAGTTGCAATGAGAGAAGCAACTGGCAATGAAGGGATGTATTGTTGGAACTAAGAGAGGCAAGCGGGCATTATTTTGTGCTGCCAATAGTGGACACGGTTGTCATCCATAATTTCGTTGCTGAAAGGCTATCTAAATGAAACTTGAGAGGAACCTGTGAAACCTGAACCAAGTGTTTTAACTAGAAACCATTTTCAGAAAATCTATTTTTGACCCCAAGTTATCCAAAATTATTTCTAAGACCTTGGTCCATGATACAAGGTAAACCCTGAAGAATTCTACAAGCCTTGTCTGATCTTTTTAGAAGCAAGCAAAAAAAAATTACACTTTCACCCTCAACCAATCATTTACATTCTACTTAGGGTTTTGCACCATATTTATTCATCTCCACTCCATTGAAGTTCCCTGATCCCTTTCATTTGCCTCTCTATAAAATTACATCCCTTACATTTCTTTCCCATCCATTCATTTCATCTTCTCACTTAAGGTTTCCCATTTCTTTTCCTTCAAGCTTTGAGGTTCCTTCCTTAAGTGTTGTCTGTGTGGTTTGTTTCAGGAGTTTAGGAAGTGAAGGTGGTGAAAGCTGAGTATAGAGGAAGGGGGGATCCTGATTGTAGCAAAAATGAGTGATGGTGAGTATACGAGTGTGAAATGTCGTCCTCAGGGGATTGGGGGTTATGACACGCAATATCCAATCGCAATAAACTAGGAACTAGCATAAAGAAACCAACAAGAAGCTAAGCTCGTCATAACGAAGTTAAGACTACGGTAACTAAACAAAATAACACAAACACATATGAATAGTAAGTAGGACAGATAAAATGAGACAAAGGAATTAAGATCATTCCTCAAACTATTGTTCTCATCCTTCTCACTTATCCTCTATGATACTTTCTAGGTGCATGGTTGCATAGATCGATGGGTAAACATTAAAGGATAGTGAATTCTCTTTTAGATCATTGGTTACCCTACAACGTAGTTTTGTGTTCCACATTATAAACAGTTAATTTCCTAACAATCTAGAAGTGAATAACAAACAAAATGATCTCTACAACCATGCACCCAACTAAAAGATAGGACATTATACAATAACACTGAGTAGTAAAAAGGACAAGTGAAAAAATCAAACAATCTCATATTCATGAATGTTAGAATATTGGAACTTATACAATAACACTGAGTAGTAAGGAGGAGAAGTGAAAAAAATCAAACAATCTAGGAGAAGTGATAAAAATCAAACAATCTCATATTCATGAATGTTAGATATTTTTTTTAGTGTAAACCACAAGGTGGTCCTCCCCATTTGCTTCGGAAGGCCATGGAATCTGGCCTAAGAGAATCGAACCCAGGTTAAACCCGAATTCATCTCTACAAAAAGAGCCCATTTACCACTTAAACTACTACCCCAAGTTAATATATCACCAAATGGAAGGTCTCAGCGAGATTTGAACTTGGGTTACTGGATTCAAAGTCAAATGTCCTAACCACTAGACCATGGGACTAAGCCATTAATGTTAGATATTAAGAACAAAAGAATTTGATCACATATTATTTAAACAATTTTTTAACCTTCCAGATCGGGAAGGAAAATAACCCAAAATAAATATTGTTGAGATAATTAATTTGTAAAATTAAATTAAACAATCTCAGTCTATCTTAACTTATGATCTATGAACAATCTCATATTCAAACTTTGCACCTGTTTTTAATTTATTAACTTTTTAAAATTAATTAATTTGTTGAGTTGTCTTTTTTTAGTTATTGTTGAATTAATTTATAGATGTCAGGATAGTTAACTTTACATTTTCCAACATGCAACAAAGTAAAAATATATATAACCTATATAGGAATTGGCATATGTATACACTACCTATATTTCTTGAATACAGCTAGGAAGAACTGTTTGTGGGTATTTGCATGGATGCACATTACATATTTACGCATAAACATGTGAGTATTTGCATGGGATATATCTATACTTATATATACACACAGATGCATTACGTGCACACACACATTTAACTCACACACCCACACACCCACACACGTACACGTATAGTATATACAAATCTGACTTGGTGGAATGATGTGAAATTTCATTTAAAATTTTTCTTTTAGTGATAAGGTAGACCTTGTCGCCTTGAAGCGGGTTCATGATATTGAGATATAATTCAATGAAGTCGGATGTGAAAATTCATAGAGATCTTCTTTTAGTGATAATGTTGGCCTTGTCGCCTTAAAGCGGATTCATGAAATCTAGATATAGTCCGGTGAAGTTGATGTGAAATTTCATTTAAAGATCTTCTTTAAGTGATGAGGTAGGCCTTGTCGCCTTGAAGCAGGTTCATGAGATCTAGATATAGTATAGTCCGGTGAAGTCAGATGTGAAGTTTTATTTAAATAACTTCTTTCAATGATAAGCTAGGTCTTGTCGCCTTAAGCGGGTTCATGAGATCTTGATATAATTGGGTGAAGTTGAAATCAACAACTACTTGAATTATATATATATATATATATATATATATATATATATATATATATATATATATATATATATCCTCTACTATAATAAAGCAGAAACATTTTGGAAAATAAAAATAGATAAAACTTTCCCGCTCAAACAATCGTGTGATGTTCCTTTGTTAATAATGACCGGGCGCTATTAGGAACATATGAGGCTCCCATTATTTATCTCTCTATTTTAGCTCCTGTTGATTAGCTCTGTAGGTTATATTAGTTGTTGTAACTACTTCTTTAGCTTTTCTCCTCTGTACACTATTTATAGCTGCATGAGCTTACATTAATAAAAATCAAGTTCACAAATTCTATATGGTATCCAGAGCCTGAAATCTCCTACGAAAGAATTCATTTTTTTTTTTTCTAATCAATGGCTTCCACCAACACCAATGAGATCATCTAGCTAAATGTTCCCACTCACTTTCCTATCAAACTCACCACTCTTAGTTCCTTGGGTGAGTTAGCCGATGTCCTAACTGACCATGAACGTCAGTTGAAGGATGCAGATGATTCACGCCAGTTGTTAGCAACTGCCAATGCTACCCAGCGGATTTCGTCCCCTCGGAACAACCGACAGTCGAACTTCAATCGCAATGCCCGTACCAATATTAACAATTACAGAGCCAACAGATCGACTTAGCAACAAGGTGACACTAATCGGCCCACTGTTATATGCAAGTTTTGTAACTTTGCAGGACATGAGACGAAAGTTTGCCGCAAGCTGGCTAGGTTCCTGAAAGAACATAACGTCCTCACCACCCAGATGCCACCTACAGCCTAGTCTGCGCAAGTATCTCCACCCTGGATGTTTGACAGCGGTGCATCGCATCACGCCACTTCTAGTCTCGAGTCACTGCAGTCAATCTCTGAGTACAATGGTCCTGATGAGGTCCGCCTGGGTGTTGGTAATTCCCTACATATTTCACATATTGGCCAGTCTGTTATCCCTACTCCATCCTCTATCCTTACCTTAGAAAATATCTTGCATGTTCCTCAGTTACACATTAACTTGGTTTCCATATCCCAATTGTGCAAGACTAATCGTGTGTCTGTGGAATTTTTTGGTTCCCATTTTCTTGTTAAGGATCTTCAAACCAGGACTACGCTACTGAAGGGAGTGAACAATAATGGTGTCTACTATGGACCTGTTGCGTCTCACCCAACAGTACACACTGCGCAGTTGTCCTCTTTGTCTCAGTGGCACCAACAGCTTGGCCATCCGTCCAATAAGGTGTTGCAACGCTTTAATGTTCCAGTTTCTATGTCATCTCTGCGAAAATTCTACTGCTCTTCCTGCAATATTCATAAAAGCCATAAGCTGCCTTTTGCCAAAAATACTCTAGTTAGCACTAAACCTCTACAATTAGTCTATACTGATGTATGGGGGACCTACAGGAAAGTCTATTGATGAGTTTTACTATTATCTAATATTTGTTGACCACTTCTCGAAATACATTTGGATGTACCCCATGAAACGTAAGTCAGGTGTCTTTACAATATTTACTCAGTTCAAAAAAATAGTGGAAAAATATTTTAGTTTTCCGATTGTCTCTATTTACTCAAATAATGGGGGAGAATTTGTAAAACTTATACCATTCCTGAACACCCATGGTATCTCTCATTTCACCACCCCACCACACACTCCTGAGCATAATGGTGTCGCAGAGTGACGACACAGGCATGTGGTTGAAACCGGTATGGCCCTCCTTCACTCCGCATCCTTGCCGTCTTCGTTCTGGACCTACAGTTTTCAGGCAGCCGTCTATCTCATCAATCGGCTCCCCACACCAGTCTTGGGTAATCAGTCTCCGGTTGACATCCTGTTTCATCAGTCACCTAACTATAGTAAGTTACAACCTTTTGGCTGTTTATGTTTCCCATGGTTGCGCCCTTATAACACCAAAAAGCTACAACCGAAGTCGCGTCCTTGTATCTTTCTTGGCTACTTCAACACTCAATCGGGTTATAGATGTCTGGATCCCAGTTCCAATCACATTTATGTATCTAGGAATGTTAGGTTTGTGCCTCATGTATTTCCTTATAAAGATTTGCAGGAAGTATCTACCAACTCACCATCTGCTTTACGTGGTTCTGAATCACGCAATATTGTGTTCAAATCGTCCCCTTTGTCTACACAGGTTGAGAACGTTCCCCCAGCTGCACAATCACCTGTGCCAACCTTTGTGCATTCTCCAAGTACGTCTCAGTCTAACGTAGCTGACTACCCGCAACTTGCTGTGGTGGGTGTTCCAACTCCAGTTTCAACACCAGTTCCAACACCAGTTCCAACACCAGTTCCAACTCCAGTTCCAACACCAGTTCCAACTCCAGTTCCAACACAGTCAGCTGCGTCCAGTTCGTCGACCACCAATGTTCCACAAAGTGGTCAACATGCAGGCCAATCCGTGTCTGACTCCAGCCCGTCACAACCTCTGAAACTTCTCAACCACAGAATAATCTCCGTCGTTCATCCCGGGAGAGTCGTCCTAATCCTAGGTATTCTGACTACGTCATTAACCAAGTCACGTCACATCCCTTGCCTCCCACTTTAGAACCTTCTACTGTCGCCCAGGCTCTTAAAGACGTTCGGTGGAGGAAGGCGATGGATGAGGTGTTTTAAGCGCTCCAACGTAACAAAACATGGCAATTGGTTCCCAGCGGCGCAGCTGTCCCGATTGGCTACAAGTGGGTTTATCATGTCAAGCGTAAACCGGATGGGTCGGTCGATCGGTACAAAGCACGACTTGTTGCTAAAGGTTTCTTGCAGACTGCTGGCCGGGATTATTTTGAAACCTATTGCCCAGTTATGAAACCAGTGACCATCCGTGTGGTTTTGACTATTACCTTGAGTAATCGCTGGACTTTGCGCCATTTAGATATTAATAATGCGTTCCTTCATGGGATGCTGCATGAGGAGGTGTTTATGGAACAACCACAGGGCTTTGTGGATCCTTCGTTTCCGTCCCATGTCTGTAAACTCACTAAAGCTCTATACAGTCTCAAGCAGGCGCCTAGAGCTTGGTACTTCGAGCTTTCACAGTTTTTGTTACGCTGTGGCTTTGTGAAGTCACAAGAAGATGCTTCTGTGTTTGTCTATTCTGCTAATACTATCATTGTTTATTTCCTAGCGTATGTGGATGATATTATCTTAACAGGTAATGATGTTGCTTGGCTTGATCTCTTTGTTGGCACTCTGTCAGCCCGGTTTCCTCTCAAAGATCTTGGCCCCTTACATCACTTCTTAGGTGTAGAGGTGGTTCCAACACCTGCTGGTCTATTTCTGACTCAGAGTCAATATGTCATTGATATTCTGATTCGATTTAAAATGGATGGTGCAAAGGATGTTTCAACACCACTAGCTACCTCGGACAAGTTGCTGCCTGCACCGTCTGGTGCAACGCCGGTTGACGTCACTCAGTTTCGGCGTCTCCTTGGCTTGTTGCAGTACCTGGTCACTCGGCCAGATGTATCTTATGTAGTCAATCGTCTTTCGCAGTTCATGCACTCTCCTACAGAACTGCACTGGTAGGCTGCTAAACGGTTGCTGCGCTATTTGAAGGGTACGGTTTGTCATGGCTTGTTCCTCCGTGCTAGGCAACCTTTGTCACTCAGTGTGTATACAGATGCTGATTGGGGTGGCTGCACTACTGATGGTCGTTCCACCACGGCGTACTTGGTGTATCTTGGTTCCAATTTCATATCTTGGAAGTCTGCTCGCTAGAAGTCTGTGTCGCGCTCTTCCACGGAGTCTGAATACCGGGCTTTGGCGAATGCTGCTGCAGAAGTTGAAAAGTTTGCTTCGTGAGCTTCGATTGCAGCTGGTGAAACCTCCGCTTCTGTTCTGCGACAATCTTACCGCGACATATGTGTGCAAGAACCCGGTGTTCCATTCACGTATGAAGCATCTGGCACTCGATTACTTCTTTGTTCATGACTTGGTTGCTAATGGTTCGCTGGTGGTTCAGCACATCCCTTCAAAGGATCAGCTCGCTGACTTCCTTACTAAACCCTTGGGTCGGTCCACGTTTCTTCTCTTTCGGTCCAATATTGGAGTCTCCGATGGGTCCTCCATCTTGTGTGGGCGTATTAAGAACATATGAGGCTCCCATTGTTTATCTCTCTATTTTAGCTCCTGTTGATTAGCTCTGTAGGTTAGATTAGTTGTTGTAACTACTTCTCTAGCTTTCCGTCTCTGTACACTATTTATAGCTGCATGAGTTTACATTAATAAACATCAAGTTCATAAACTCTATAGGCGCATCCTTTAGGTTTTAAGCGTGTTGTCGTTTAGACTTCCGATGAAGCATGGGTAATATACCTAGGCGGCTTTAACTAATCGAGAATTATCATCGCTTCTACAAACGAGGTTAATAATATCTGTTCTACAAATTTGAAATAGAATACAAAACATTATAAATAGGATGAGCTGCAGAGGTAGTTCATATCCTCCGAAACTTCTAGAGATAGTTTTTAGATAAAATACAAACATCACACGAATATGGATCCAGTGTTTATCTTGGCAAGCTAGATCTGACAACGTCTGCTATTAAAGCATGCCTGGTGCGAACCTACGAAGTGGCAGAGCATAGAGGCAGTGAATCAATCAAATTAAAAGAATGTATATTTCATGATGAACATGTATATAAGCTATGTAAGATGTGCGATCATAAGCTATTTTATATATTATAATATCGTAATATGTATTTTCTAGACATGCATGTTGACCAAAAAAATTAAATATGAAAGCATGTTTGGTTGACGTCTTATACAAATGGTGTTTCCATTATTCTACAAAGCAAGTTTATAAATAGTCCAGTATCATTTTCCAGATATATATATATATATATATATATATATATATATATATATATATATATATGTGTGTGTGTGTGTGTGTGTGTGTGTGTGTGTGTGTGTGTGTGTGTGTGTGTGTGTGTGTGTTAGGAATATAGCGGAATAATGCGGAAGGGAAGAATCGAAAATTGAGAATTATAGAAGTTAAATAATAGAAATAGGGAAAATTATATAAATGACACATGAATTAATAAGGATGGAATATATATATATATATATATATATATATATATATATATATATATATATATATATATATTGATTTACATTCATATAAGAACTCATCTTTACGTAAGAACTTAAGAACTCATCTTAGCCTTTTATCTTGATTAACTAATGGTCCATATTTATTTGAATATTTAATGGGGTTTTGTTCGCTGGTTGTGTACTAATTTTGATAAAGAAGGATAGTTTTGGGTTTTCAACATTTGGATGTGGGGTGGGTCCGTGGATTTCGCTGGATTCTCTCCTTCATCCTTTGTTTTCGCCATTTAGATTTTATTTCTCTCTGCCTGTACACGTTTCTTTGTGGCCCTACTCTCTTCTTCGTCCCTGCTCTCTTCTTCATCGCTGCCTTAGAACTCTTCAATTCTTCCTCTAAGATCCGCAGATTCCCAGCCCATTAGAATTCCTCCATCACCACTGTCGCCCCTCGCCCGACACTCCGTCTTGGCGGCACTCCAGGTTCGAACCAATCTTCATTATTCTTCAAATTTATTCTCTTAATTAGTTTTCCCTAATGTCTAATTCTTCTATAAATGCCCTAATTCTCTAAAATTTCAATCTTCAACTTATTTTGTTTTATATATTTTTGTAATTAATATTGTATTTGTATAATTGTATGTATAAAAGTAGAGAACTTGGAAAGAATTGGATGTAGAACTTTGATATTTTATTCTAATGGAGCAATGTGGAGGCAGAGACTAAATGTAATATGTTGAATTGCTTATGTGCATCTAAGTACGCTAAAAGCTTGTAAAGGCCAGGGCAATGGATTTTAATTCGTTCGTATTCAGCTAGAGTTGAATTTCTTATCTTCAAGTCTTTATATTTGAGCTTTTGTGCATTGTAATTTGAATGATTTTGGCTAGAAGCAAGTTCCTAGTGGTCGTGTAGTTTTCGGGGCAGATCATATAATATAATTAATTTCATAAGACATAGATAATGTGTATGCATGTGTGTATCTAGGATGTTAGTTGCGTTTTGTAATATTCCAAGTTGTAATTTTTGTGAAAATTGTGTACTTCTTGTGTGGATAGGAGATACTTTGTTCTTCCGTTTCCTTATTTCCCAATTCCTGTGCAGAATCAGAACAAAAGAATACTGGCAGGCAAGGAGGGGTACCTTTTGATTCTCAAAGGGCATAACCATCCTAGAAGCTGTTAGTGCCAACTTCACTCCAATTAATTGGATGTGGTTGATGATTGGTGTGGGCTGTTGTATGGAAGCTTGTTTATGGAAGGATGCAGATGCATGGATGGGAAAGGATGCTGATGGGGATTGGGAAGGCTGGCAATGTTGTATAGCATATATAGATTAATTGGAGTGTGAATGTTTTGTTGTTTTATTTAGAGTGATTTTCCTTCATTTCTCCACCCTTCTCCCCTCTCCCACGCAAGGCAGCTTAGTTAACCAAATAACCTTAACATTTGTTCTTGAGGATCATAACACATACTCGTTGACTCAAGTGCACACACAATTTTATCTAAGTGCAAACACAACACAATTCAAGTGCACACCAAAATGATTAACATCTTTTCCTATACAAACTGATTATGCAAATTATGGCACACACATTGTAACCTAAGTGCACACAGTCAACCCAAGTGTACACCCTAATCTATCAACCCAAGTGGACACCAACTTGTTTTTATATCTTTTCATCTACACACTCATTATTTACATTATGGCACACACAGTTTAACTAAAGTGCACACCATAGTCTTTAACATCAATCTAGTTTTTGTGCATGCACATATTCGTTAACCTAAGTACACATGGTATTTCGTATATCAGTTTTCTTAAGCATCATGACACATCCAAGTGCACACACAGCATAATCCAAGTGCACACCAAAATGTTTAACATCTTTTCCTACACAAACTAATTCTGAAAATTATGGCACACAGTTAACCCAAATGCACACCCTAATCTATCAACCCAAGTGACACACCTGACAGTCAATGAGAGTTCTATATATATATTAATCTCTATAAAGAGAATTAGAAAGGAAAATATATATATATATATATATATATATATATATATATATATATATATATATATATATATATATATATATAAAAGTACGTGAGGAGGAAATTGAAAGAATCAATTGAATGAATGATGTAAGAGGTGCATTACAAAGAAAAAAGCCTACTCTATTTATACAATTCAAAGTGAAGCTAATTAAGCGACATGTTGAGGATGAGAGCAAAAGGCGCAACAATGTGTAGGAATATGTACACACATGACGCCAACATCGGATAAATGGTCCATGTTTAATTTGAGCCACATACTTATGTCTAACAATCTCCACCTTGGATCAAATTTATCGTGAAAATTAACAACCGGAACAACCAACTAAATTCAAACATTGTTTGAACTTAGTAATAGGTAGAGGCTTGGTGAGCATATCTGCTGGATTCTCCAATGTATGAATCTTCTGAACAGTTATATCTCCTGCAGTTATAACATCTCGAATAAAATGGTATTTGACATCAATGTGTTTGGTTTTGGCATGATATGTATCATTTTTGGTGAGATGGATAGCACTTTGACTATCTGAGAACACAACAGTCTGACCTTGTGAACCACCAAGTTCCATAACCAAACCTCGTAGCCAAGTAGCTTCTTTGACACCCTCTGTGGCTGCAATATATTCCGCCTCAGTCGTAGAAAATGCAGCAATAGACTGAAGCGTGCGTAGCTTTCCAACTGATAGCACAATTACAAAGAGTGAAAATATAACTGGAAAGCGATCGACGTCTGTCAAGATCACCACCATAATCAGAATCTACAAAGCGCACAATGTCAGTAGATGCAGAAGAATTTCGATAAAAAACCAAGCCTAAAGACGAAGTACCCTTTAGGTACCGTAGAATCCATTTAATGGCGTTCCAATGTTCCTTACCAGGGTTATGCATGTAGCGACTCAAAACACTTACAGCATGAGCCAAATCAGGTCTAGTGCATACCATAACATACATAAGACTTCCAACAGCACTAGAGTAAGGAACTTTTGACATATAGGCCACATCAACATCAGACTTAGGGCATGAACCAGAGGATACCTTAAAATGTGCACCAAGTGGAGTAAACACAGGTTTACAATTGGACATATTGAATCGATCAAGCCTTCTCAACATACTTTTTCTGGGATAGATAAAGGTTACCCGCTTGACGATCCCTGTGAATCTCCATGCCAAGAATCTTCTTTGCTGCACCAAGGCCTTTCATCTCAAACTCATTGCTTAGTTGAGACTTCAAGTCATCAACCAGAGACATATCAGGGGAAGCAATGAGCATATCATTAACATAAAGCAGCAAATAGACAAAAGACCCATTAGAAAATTCTTTAAAATAGACACAGCTATCATACTGGCTTCTTGAGAATCCTTGCCCCAACATACACGCCTCAAACCGCTTATACCATTGCCTTGGATCTTGCTTTAGCCCATAAAGAGACTTTTGTAGACGACAGACACAATGTTCCTTCCCAGGAACTTCGAATCCCATAGGTTGGTACATGTAAAGTTCTTCATCAAGCTCTCCATGTAAGAAAGCAGTCTTTACATCAAGTTGCTCCAACTCCAAATCAAAAAGAGCAACAAAAGCAAGTAGAACACGTATAGACGTATGACGAACAACTGGAGAAAAGATCTCGTTAAAGTCAATACCTTCACGTTGATCAAAACCTCGAACAACTAACCGTGCCTTCCACCGTGCTTTCTCAACCCCAAGAATGCCTTCTTTCTTTTTGTAAATCCATTTACAGCTCAATGAGCGTTTACCTTTCAGCAATTCTACCAGCTCCCAAGTCTCATTCTTATGGAGACTTTCCATCTCTTCGTGCATAGCAACCAACCACTTGGACGAGTTGGCACAGGAAATAGCTTCAGAATAGCAGGATGGATCACCATCAACCTCCTGTGCAACTGAAAGAGCATAAGCAACCAAGTGGGTTTCATCGTCACTAGCGTACCTAGCAGGTTTTTTAATTGTCCTCCTAGGTCGATCTTGGGCAATAGAGTACTCTCGCTGTGGCTAGACGAGAGGTGCGGTACTTGTAGATGCATCATCTTTAGTATTACCATTAGTGGTAGTAATACTATCATTAGGCCTGAACTCAAACTCCACCTTATCACTAGTACTCTGCGTCTCACCTGTACTGGAATCTTTTCCAGAAGAAAGTAGTGCATTTTCGTCAAAAGTGATATCTCGACTCAGAATGATTTTCTGAGAATCAGGAGACCATAGACGATACGCTTTTGACTCAGAGGCATAACCGAGGAAAATGCATTTGACAGCTCTCGGGTTTAATTTACCCGTACTGGAATGAGCATAAGCAGGACATCCAAAAACTCTTAAGATAAAGTAGTCAACAGGATTACCTGACCAAACTTCCTCTGGAATTTTGAAGTCAAGGGATGAATGTGGAGATCTATTCACCAAATAGCAAGCAGTAGAAACGGCCTCGGCCCAAAAATCACGCCGTTTCCATAACCCAGCATTAGAGAGCATATAACGAGCTCTTTCCAATAATGTCCTGTTTAGACGTTCGGCAACACCATTTTGCTGGGGTTTACCAGGCAAGGTCTTGTGCCTGGCGATTCCATTTGCCGCACAGAAGTCATTGAAATCTGACTCACAGAATTCTAAGCCATTGTCTGTCTTGAGCTTCTTGACCTTTTTCCCTGTCTGAGTCTCAACAAGTATTTTCCACTTTTTGAAAATAGGAAAACCCTGATTTTTGTGTTTCAAGAAATAGACCCAGAACTTACGAGAAAAGTCATCAATAATAGACATGAAACATCTACAGCCTCCCATAGACTGGAATTTAGTCGGTCCCCATAAATCGAAATGTATATATTCCAATACATCTTTAGTATGGTGTGTAGCAGTAGAGAAACTAACCCTCTTTTGTTTCCCAAAAACACAATGCTCACAGAATTGTAATTTACCCGTACCTGAATCACCAAGGAGACATTTCTTGCTCAGGAGATGCATGCCTTTCTCACTCATATGCCCCAGACACATATGCCATAGTTGAGTGAGATCTGCATCAGATATCGATGAGGATACCGCTACTGAACCTGTCACAGTACTGCCATGCAACACGTACAAGCTTCCAGATCGAGAAGCTTTCATGAGAACAAGAGAGCCTTTTATGACTTTTAGAACTCCACCTTCAGCTATGTACTTGCACCCCAGAGATTCCAAGGTGCCCAATGATATTAGATTGCGTTTCAAATTAGGAATATACCGAACATTGGTAAGAGTCCTGACAACATTATCATGAGTTTTAATCTGAACACTTCCAATTCCACTAACCTTGCATTGGGTATCATTACCCATCAAGACAACTCCACCATCAACCGGTTCCAGAGAGACGAACCAGTCTTTGTGAGGACACATGTGGAATGTACAACCAGAGTCCAAAATCCACTCAGTCTTGCTCCGTTTGTCACCGGAGCTAACAGATAACATAACATCGCCTTCTGAATCACTTTCAACAACACTAGCTTCAACAGACTTCTTTTCTCTCTCTTGCTTGTTTTTCAACTTGAAGCATTCAGTCACATCGTGACCTTGCTTCTTGCAGTACTTACAGGATTTGTTGGACTTACGTCCTTTGGACTTGGATCTAGATTTTTTATTGCTACTCTCTGTTTCAAGTGAACGACCCCTTACAGTCAAGCCTTCACCTTTGTCCTCAGACTTAATTTCAAAGTCAAACTTTTCTTTGGACAATAGGTTTGACTTAACATTGTCAAAAGTAAGGGTATCACTACTACTATTTCCATACAACATAATTTCTTTGAAATGCTTGTACGATTTAGGGAGAGAGACAAGCAATAAAACAGCACGATCCTCACCTTCAATAACAACATCAATATTCTCCAAATCCAATAAAATAGAATTAAATTCATCCAAGTGAGATTTAATCGAAGTACATTCCGTCATACGGATTGTGTACAGGCGCAGCTTGTTCGCCAGAGATTTGGCCATATAAAGCGACTCTAGCTCAGACCATAAATCTGACGTAGTCTTCTCACTCACCACCTCACATAGAACCTCTTTAGACAGGCACAATTGGATGGTTGAACGTGCCTTGTCATCCAAATCTTCCCAATCTTCATCTGTCATTGCAGCCGGTTTCTTCTTCTTCCCAGCTAGCGCTTTCTTCAAACCGTTCTGGGTTAGAACGGCTTCCATCTGAACCTTCCAGATAGAAAAACTAATTTTTCCGTCGAACTTCTCGATATCGAACTTGGTGACAGTCGACATCTTTTAAAATAATTCTCAAATAAACCGCTTTGATATCACTTGTTAGGAATATAGCGGAATAATGCGGAAGCGAAGAATCGAAAATTAAGAATTATAGAAGTTAAATAATAGAAATAGGGAAAATTATATAAATGACATACGAATTAATAAGGATGGGAAAATATAAATATATATATATATATATATATATATATATATATATATATATATATATATATTAATCTCTATAAAGAGAATTAGAAAGGTCTATAAAGAGAATTAGAAAGGAAAAAAATATATATATATATATATAAGAACGTGAGAAGAGAGGAAATTGAAAGAATCAATTGAATGAATGATGTAAGAGGTGCATTAAAAAGAAAAAAGCCTACTCTATTTATACAATTCAAAATGAAGCTAATTAAGCGGCATTTTGAGGATGAGAGCAAAAGGCGCAAGAATGTGTAGGAATATGTACACACATGACGCCAACATCGGATAAATGGTCCATGTTTAATTTGAGCCACATACTTATGTCTAACAATATATATATATGTATATGTATATATGTATTCTAATATATTTTTCTTATAAAAGCTGGTGAGGTGAAGATATGCAAAAGATGATGGAGAAAACTTCGAGTTCTTCAGTGATTTATAAGAAGCGATTCTGTCGCGACCATAGAATGAATCATTGGGACTGAGGCTATAGTTGGGGCTGTAGCCGTTGGTCAGAGTGAAGGAGAGATTGAGAATGCATATTGATGACGAAATATAGGGGCTGACAGTCTGCGGCTGGAGCTTCGGCGCCAACAAGGTTGCAGGCCAGAGGATGAAGTCAACAAAATACGAAGTGAGATTATACACACTTGATCACGTTTTTTCTTTTACATTCTGAGTTCATCTTACTTTTAATGAAGGTTTTTTTTTGTCATTTCTTGACTGAACTGCCCAAGGGTATTAATCTAAGCTCAAGCATACTTTGATTGCCTTGGATGTGGGTGTTATTAGATTTCGTTTTTTCCATTAATTAGTAGAATTTTGATATTAATTATTGTTTCTTTGTATTAGAATAGATGGTATGCTTGGATCAGTTGAAATTTTTGGTTTCCAGTCCTCTGCCAGTTTATGTTGTACAAGTGATATATTACCAGAATATCAGTAGAGAAAATATTCTTATTCACGGCTCCTTTTGATGATAAATTCGTTGCATCCCTGAAATGGTTGGTGTTAATAAGACAAATATAATTTTGCAAGCTATAGAGTAAAATTTAGTCAAATACTACCAAGCGAGAATCCTGAGGTAGGGAGGATCCTGTTATTTTTAAAGCTACTTGGTTAATGGCTCGTGTTGCCAAGTTGAAGAGAATGAGTTTTATCTCAAATTGAAGTGAATTTCAATTTAATAAATTTCCTAAGATTCATTTTTAAAGCTGCTTGGTTAATGGTTGCTGTTACCATGTTGAAGAATTATTTAAATGCTTTTACAGGCTGTTGTCATAGAGGAAAAGAACAACACTAATCGTGAGGGTGTGCTTGAAATGAATTTCCATCTGCTTAGTAATTCCTTATAAATATTTACTTATTTGGATGCTCTTCTACAACTCCTGATGCAAATCTGCAAATATTTCCTCCAAATAATGGTGGGAATGCTGGTAAGGGAACTCCTGCAGGCTGCAGGTCCAAGTGGTACTAATCATTTACCATTTTTCACTACTGTCATATCAGAAAATCATGAGTTGTTTTTTGATTACCAAATTTACTTAGGTGATAACTATTTTTATGTCAAATATACTTCAATTATGTATTTATGTTAGTTTTAGAACTCGTGTATAAATAATTATTAAAATAGCCTTTGGATTAAATAAAAAGATTGACTTCAACGTTAAGTTTTTCATGAAGATTTTTCATGTATCTTAGATCTGAGTACTAAACATGTAATAAAACTATATCTTCACATTAAAACAATACTTATAAAATTATGTCCGTGCATCGCCCGGGAAAATACTAGTATATATATATATATATATATATATACACACGTAAAATCCCTTCTAGTGTTTTCCTGCCCAAACTTATTTTACTGGTCAAAGTATTGACAATTTTTATTTGGTAAGAAAATGATGCATGAAAATTTGTAATATTGCACTGTAATATTTGGTAATATTGTGTTGTCCTTAATTATGATTAGAATAAAAAATGTAAGAATATTAACTAATAAATTGGTAATATTAACGTAGAAAATCATGGTATAATTAATTATGGTTAATTTGATCGGTAATATTAACGTAGAATAAAAGTTTATTCTAAGTCCAAAGAATCAATAACACTATATTATGGTAATTAAAGAAGAATAAACAACGTAATAATATAGAATAAAACGTAATAATTAATTATAGTAGTAACATGCCAATTTGCTATTTAAACCCATATGTGACACCCCGTAAATCAAAACTCTAATCAAGGATTAATTAGATAATTAATTATAGTCTCTTTGTTAATTTATTCCTTAAAATCCTGAAATTCAATAGTTGAGAGACTAGATTTTGACTAGTCACTTAAGTCAAAGGGTTGTACCTTGTGCTTCTTGAGTTGCGCCCTTGTTCCCTTGTCTTTCCAACTTTAGTAAGGGTAGGAATGTCTTTTTACCTAAGGTTTGTGATTCAAGCTAACCTAGCAACACCCTTTCATTTCATTCACCCTACAATCTAAACACAAAAACCTCTAGCCTCTCTCTAAAAAGAGTTAGCTTCTTCTCCAAGCTAGGATTTGAGCATCCAAGTCTTGCAAGTTTGGCTTCCAAGATTCCTACTTTCTTCATCTTAAGCATAGGTGAGGGTAAGATCCTTGGTCTTTTGGTGTTTTTAACTTCCTTTTAGGTGTCTTTTCTAAAGATAGAATCTTTGTTGTCTTTTGGTTTGTGTATGAAGTTGGTGTGGAAGAGGAGCTTTAGGAAGGGCTTTCTAAGGGTGATAAGAGGAAGTTCTTAGGCTACAAAGGTAACCCGTGCTTTACAAAACCTATTTTCTTACTTATATGATGATTCTTGGCTTCTACTTGTGATTCTTGTGTGGAAATGTGAGATTTGATGCATTGTCTTGTGGTAATGCATGTCTAGAGCTTGTTCTTAGGGTTCTTGAATGCCATTGCTTGGACATGAATTTCGACTTGTTGAAAATCCCCAAAGGGATGTTTTTGTGTACAGGGTGGTACCCGCGGGCGGAACGGCGGGCAATGGCTTGCCCGCCGCCCCACCCGCGGGGAACAGGTGACTCGTGGCCTATGTACCCGCGGGTGGTTGTCCACCCGTGGCCCCACCCGCGGGGAACGTTGTTGATTGTTGGCGGGGATTTGTTCCCCGTGATTCTTTTGACTCGGTATTGATGTTTTGACCTCTCAATGTTGTTTTATTGGGCTATTTGTGAGTCTTCTTTATGTTTCGTATGTCTAGAACGGTATGTTAGGAATCCATGTAGGATTTGGTGTCTTGAATCGTGCTAAGGGTCCAACTTTGTGATTCGTTGGGCTAATGTGAGTCTTCAATGTTCCTTGGAACTACTTTTGGTTTACCCGTTTGATAAGCATGCTAGTTTGATGTTGAAATGCTAGTGTGTGTGGTTTGTTCCTTCCTATTGGGATTGGCAACTTGTGTTGACAATCATTTGGTGTTGGATTGTGATCTTTTGTTGTTGAGTATGGTCTCATGTCTTTGTTGTGATCTTTGATTGATTCCTATGATATGAACGTATGTAATCGTTGTACCTTTTGATTGATACTCGATTAAGGTTATTGTGGAACCTTAGTCCTCTTGGTAATGATGATGATCTTGTGTGACTATGATTGAAATTGGTGGTGTGTTACCTGACCTTGACTCATATGTTGGAGGCTATGTGAATGACATTAATGGTACCCTCGTGTACTGAGAGTTCGGCGGTGAATAGGAGAGTCGGAGGGGGGACGACGGTCCTCGGAGGCATAAGGTTGGACTCAGAAGTATAGGGTGGCACTAGGAGGTAATGGTTGGAACCGAAATAAGGCCGGGGGTAGCCATAAGGTTGGAACATGGCATAAGGTTGGAATTATGATACTTGTGACACGTAGTTGTCACTGTGGCATGTAGTTGCCGTTGTGTGACTGTGTATTCCTTGCTTATAAGCATGTCTTGATGTATTCTACGTTGTGATCAGTAGAATGGATCTTGAGTTGTAGCGTCATTCATGTTTCTTGTCTTGTTGTTGTAAGGATGGTGATCCCTTTTCCTTTTGAGAGTGTTTAATGAGTCCTTGAAGTTGACATTTCTCTATGGCTTTTGAAATGATATATACTGTATTCCGTTTCAAAATGCTTTTGATTTATACTTATCTATATATGCTATTTAACGCGTATTGATGGGTTACCAGCAATATTCGTTAACGGGGTGTTATCCCCTTGTTATGTTTCCCTTGTTCTATAGGTTATGAGTAGATGCCCGAGAGCGCTAGACATGGATCGCTA